GGCCCTTCATGGGCTGAGTGTCCTCGCCCGACGACGTGAGTGGCCCGACAGGTGTGAACTGGGTGCCGGCATTGCCTAGGCGTTAGCCACTGCAGGTGAGCAGCGCAAGGCCCCTGCCCGCGGGTCTGAGCAGGCAGAGGCGGACAGCAGGTGGAAGGAGCATCAGCATGAGAAATGTTAGAGGTGCTAAGAGCTTTTACAGGGCTCACGCCCGGTGATGAGTTGGCTGCTGGCTGGCGCCTTTAGACGGCGTGGCCAGGAAGGACGTCCCTGAGCCAAGATCTAGAGGAGGAGCCCACCCAGTAAAGGTGGATCGGTGAGCATTCGGGACAGAAGGAACAACTGGTCACAGGGTTTTGTTGTGATAAAGAACGGACCTGGCACAGTCCAGGGTCCAGACCAAGACCAGGGGAACTAGAGAGTAAAGGGAGCAGGGCCGGGGCCCCCTGAGCAGAAGCCAGGTCACGTCGAGGGAGCGCAAGGCGGGATGGATAAGCCATTAGGATTAAGGCAGAAAATTGTGATAATCTGACTTACATTTTATCAGGATCTCAGGTTAAGCGACACAGTGGCCAGAGCAGGGGCGTCTCCCAGGGGAGTGGGATGGGGGCGGGAAAGCGTTCGAGGTAGGTCCAGGTAGAGTTAACAGGACTGTTGAGCTGCCACACGGCAGGGAGGAAAGGAAGGAATCGCATCCCTTAGATTTGGAGGTAAACAAGTCACTGAATTAAGGGACTGGAAGGTGGTCAGCTCAGGCCCCAGTTCATCGTCTTCAAAGGTAGGAGACGGTGAGGGGACCGGGGATGCTCGACGGCCCCGGGGGAAGCCGTCACCGCCAGGCGGACGCGGGGTGTGCGGGTAGGTCCCAAGCCCTGGACCACACCGCGTGGAGGCGTGGCCGTGCTGAAAGGCCTGCAAATCCAGGGACGGGAAAGGTACAGCAGTGAAATGGTCCGACGGAGAAAATTAGAAACGGCAATGCCAACCGAAGACTGAGTGGATTTAGCCACTTTGAAAAAACCCTACACTTTGGGGAGACAGAAGCTCGTTTTCAGGGCTTCTGATGTGACAGGTTGAGAGTGGCCCGTGTGCTGTTCGGGCTTCGACCAGCACGCCATCTTATCACCCCTTCTCTGTAAGCATGGCGCTTGAAGGGGACGTTGGTGTGTTCAAATGTGACTTTATTCCATCCAAGAGGTGTTTTTTAAATTCCTGCCATACATAATTACAAACGTATCATGAAGGTCATTAGGACTTTCTAAAAGTCCCCTTCTTAGTAATTTTCTTTACAGTAAACTTTTCTGGCCCACAGCTCTTGCTTTGAACCTTAATTCAGGCCCCTGCCACAGTCGGCCAGCCAACGAAACCTTTCAGTACCCTGGTCACCAAACAGGAGAGGGGATGTACAGGGCGTCCCCCCAAAAATGTATACACACTGTAACAGCGGATAGCTCAATTTTGAAAATGAAAGGTATTTTAATAAACACCACCTTTGTAATTATTCAGTGTGTGTACATGGTTTGGGGACACCCTATATTTTTCAGGGTATCACAGGGCATTACTTAAACTGTGCTCACAACACACTGAGCAGGAGAGGAGCTCCTATCACCTGGCGTCTACGGCCGGTGACAAGTCACCCATCTGCTGTTATAATCCACACGGAACTGGATCTCCTGGGCGGCGAATCTCTCTGCTTCCTTTCTGTTTGTGTTTTTACAACCTCAAATAGAAATAATACATATGTTTCCCTTCAGCACATTTTATTTTTAGAAGATCTGGAAAATGAAAGGCCTTTGGTTCAGCCACGTGACTCTCATTAGTGTTAATGGGAGAAAGGCATCTTCTTAGAGGAAAATACCACTGTCCCCCAAGCGTATAAATAACAGTAGGCCCGTGGCCATGGAGGCCTGGCTGCCCCGCATGTCGTCAGCTGTGTCCTCACGGGGCGCTCGCCCTGAAGCCCTCCAGGTTGATTGGCCTTGGTGACTTGTGCACAGTCACATGGTGAACGGGAGGTGCCGCCAGGCAGGAGGAGATCCCAGACCTGCGGGGGGTGTTCCAAATCCTTCCCATCGTTTCTATCTGAAACCCCTTCCACCTTTCTGAGATGCCATGTTGCCAATGTGGCCGTCCTGAGGCAAGCTCGTGCCCTGACCGCTCCCATGGGCCGCACAGGGGCTGGGTGAACAGGGCTGAGCTCGGTGGGACCCCGAGCAGCCGATGACCCCTCTCCACCCAGCAGCGGGTCGATGAGAACCATGAACCATGCTGAGCAGCATCCGATGTGCTAATAAACACAGCGCAGGAGTTTACAAATGTTGACGCTGTTTCTGGTGGGTCAACAGAGAGAGAGTCGCATTTCAGTTACTGACAAGAGACTTTCAGCTACGTGACAAGCTGCCCCTCTGTCAAGCGTCCTCCCGTCTATCACCAGTGACCATTTTTAAAAACATTTAAGCTTGATCGAATTTTGGACTTAGAGAAATGGTGCAAAAATAGTACGAAGAGTATCTTGTGCGCCCTCCCCCCTCCCCCTAAGGCTAACATGCAAGATGCTAACAAGGACCGTTTTAATAAGCATTTTTCTTAAATCAATCAGCCCCCATGCAGCCCAAAGACTCTCTGTGCCTGGAACCTCACTTTTTAAAGGGCACCGTGTCTACAGCTTGACCCAAAATATCTCTTCGAAAGCCATCAAGACGAGGAACCAAGGTGGCTCGAAGCACGGCAGGGACCAGGGAGAACCAGAGGGGTGACACCCGGCGTCCCACCTTCCGGAAAGAAGCCTTAGGGAAACGAGGTTGGGGCATTGAGAGGTTCAAAAGCAGAAAGAAAACCAATCCACTCTCTCTCCCCCCTGCTGTTTGAAATTATGAGTAAGTTGGGTTGTCTGACCCAAGAAGAGGGGGGCGTGGGAACGGATGGGAAGGGAGTGGCCCCCAGGCGTTCTGTGCGATTCGCCGCCGGTGGTGCAGGTTTATGTAAAACCTCGCTCAGCTGCATCAGCTGAACATTTGAAAATGTCAGGAGGAAGTTATTTCCTCCCCAGCTGCCATGAGACAGCCGCCGAGAGTCCCAGCGCGGGGCCACCCTCCTGTCCCCGGGCTTGCGGACGCGACACGGGCTCAGGACAGTGGTAGGTGGGTTTTCACAGAGAAACCCCTCCCCTTCTCGGGGCATGGGGGGGACACTTTTACTAGACCCAGATGCTCACGCTAGCGTTTAAGAAACAGTTAAACACGGCTCCGTTTTTCCGTAGCTAAGTGGTCTCTTGGGGCAAACTCATAAACTACGTATGTTTTCTTTCTAAGGACTTACTCTCAGCGACAAGATATAAATAACTTGGGGAGCCCACATGAAACGGGGGTGACGGGAGGAGCGCTTGTCTGGGGCGACGCCACCTGTTTATTTCATCAGGAAGCGGTGGCCGTCTGGGGAGGGGACAGGGAGGGAAGGGAAGGACGGGAGGTGTCTGAGCCCCGTGGTCCCGGGAGGGGCCGGGACTCGGGCTCCTTTGGCCCCGGGTCGGGCCTTTGTGACTCTGCTCTCGGGGCGTGTGCTGCTCTTCGGAGGCCCAGGGACTCTCCCCAGTTCTGATTCTCAAAGGCAGCTCTTCAAAGGGGGCGCGTCTCAGCAGAGGGCGCGCCCGGGGCCGGAGCTTTCGGCGGGGCCGGGGCACCTGGCTGAGGTTTGCACGGGGCACAGAGGAAACCGGGGAAACGGTGTCGGTCAGGGGGGTGCTCCCAGCGGCCGGCGAGCGGCAGAGCCCGCGCCTTCTCCGGGGGACCCCACAGCCCTGGCGCTCACACCCTCTTGTCACGTGGGGCCCTGGGAGGTATTTATTTCTGCCCAAAATGCGGTTTGCAGACCTTGTTCTGGAAGGGAGGGTCTGCCCGGGGTTGGAGGGAGACCAGGGCTGACTTGAGGGGGAAGTGGGGTGTCCCGCGTCAAGCCAGCCTGTCTGCTCCTGGCCCCAGCCCCACAAAGCCCCTGGATGGGGGGTTCCTGAGCAGTGTCCTGAGAGCACGCAGAGGAAGGGGGTTGTGCGATCGGGGCCCCCTCCTGTATCTCACACCCCCGGCCCCGTCTTTGACCGTGTTTATTAGCATTTCATGCGGGCGCTTCAATTTTGCTCGCTGCCCCCACAACTCCGCGCGAAATCACCCCGTGGCTGGCTGAGGCCGAGGGACCCCTGAGCTGGTCAAGACGGGAGCTTCCACCTCCACCTTGGTGGCGGTTCAGCGAGTCCCAGGCAGGTTCACGTGCCGTTTTCTGTTCACTTGCGAAGGGGGGAAATGCGGCATGTACTCCAATGACCACCAGAGGACAGCCGTGGAGCGAGAACCACACCGACGCCGATCATTATATTGTTTCCTTGGTTTTAACATTTATCTTAATAATACAAGTATGTTATTCTATAAAATACAATTACATGAAGTATATACGTATCTTGTTGGGTATATACATAGGTAATCTTATAAAAATAGTCACTATCCTAGTACTGAAAATAAATAATATGGAATATATTACCTCATTATAGTAGTAACTTGAGTTTATCAATGAGGCTGGGGAGCCAATAATGGAGAAGGGATTAGAACCCAGTATCTGGCCCCCGAGTCAAGGTGCATGATTCCACTGCCCATCGTCAAGAAGGCCACTGGAGTCCCCACGGTAATAATTGTACCGGACACACTTCCCGTGAAGCGCGGAACAGAAAAGTCTCTTTTCAATGTGAGCAAAGGTATCTGAACGTCGGAAGCCGAGGGGATAACTCCGAGGCATAATTAGTGGGTCGTGAAGTCTGGCCACCCATGAGCATCCCTCTCTGACCAGGGCGGCCGGAGGGCCTGTGATGAGCCGCGATGTCGGCGGCTTAATGAGGCCCATTAATAACCCGCTGGCGTTTCCGATTTCAGAATTGTCTCTGTGAGTAACGGCGGCGAGGAGCCCGGTGGAATCGCTGGCGCCCTCTGAATGGAATTCTCCACCCTCTCTCCCAGGAGACTACACCTGCTGTGACTTGGTCGTGCAAATAAAGGAGTGTAAGAAGGGCGAAGCCACCACGCCTGAGCCCGAGCCGGACCCTGCACCGCCCGAGCCGGCGCCCTCCGAGGAGCCAGAGACCCCTGACCTGCGGGAGGACTGCTCCGAGTGCCAGCAAATACCTGCCAGCTCCTCTTTGACCTTGCAGGTGAGGCCTTCTGCAGGCCTAGACTTGATTCCCGCCCCAGGAGACCTTTCCTGGAAGTCCGGGGTCACATGACCTCACTTCTGCCTCTGAGGCTGGACCCCTGACTCCCCTTCGTGGAGGCTGTGTGACTCTGGGCAGGTGCCCTAACCTCTCTGGGCCTCTGCTTCACAGTATGAGTCTTGGAGATAATATCTGTTTAGGCACAATCACCATTTCTCCTGAAAAAGCCTGTATTGTATTCTGGGTGGATGACCTGGGCCTGGGCTGCTTCCAGCCCCCAGCAGGAGTGAGTGGCTCATGATGCTCCCATCCCTCCCCTTGGGTCTCTGGAAGACAGAGTTTAGGGCATTCCAATCTGGGTCTGTTGGAAATGAATGAGTGGACAGGGTGACGGGGGGAAGGAGTGGTAGCCTTTGCCTTTGCTCTCCTAACCTTGACGTTGGTTATAGTCCACCGTGCTGCAGGGCCCCGGGTGTTGGTGAGGTCAGACTGACTGCCAGGACCTGCCACCAGTGGGTCTGTGGCAGTCTTTCCACGAGCTGGTGGAAGTAGATGGTGACATGCTTATGCACTGGGGCTTCTGGTCTCTGAGTACTAATTTTATTTTTTTTTTACGGGAGAGAGGGAGNACTGCCAGGACCTGCCACCAGTGGGTCTGTGGCAGTCTTTCCACGAGCTGATGGAAGGAGATGGTGACATGCTTATGCATTGGGGCTTCTGGTCTCTGAGTACTAATTTTATTTTTTTTTACGGGAGAGAGGGAGAGATAGAAACATCAGTGATGAGAGTCATTGATCAGCTGCCTCCTGCACGACCCCTACTGGGGATCGAGCCTGCAACCCAGGCATGTACCCCGACTGGGAATCAAACCGGAGACCTCTTGGTTCATAGGTCAATGATCAACCGCTGAGCCACGCTGGCCGGGCTGAGTGCGGTACTGTTGACCAGCTTCTTGACCCAATGAGACGGATGTGCGCCTTCCTGTGTCCCTTCTCTTAACAATAAAATCTTTTCTTGGCTCCAACCAGGAAGCCCTGGAGGTCCGGAAGCCTCAGTTCATCTCGCGCTCGCAGGAGCGGCTCAGGAAGCTGGAGCTCAAAGCTCAGCAGAGGCGAGCCCAGCGCAAGGAGAGCCCGGGGCCGAAGCAGGGCCCCCCGCCCGCCCGGGCCGGCAGGAAGCAGTTCACCGTCCCCCACCCGCTGAGTGGTGAGCTCAATGGTGGGAGAGGGGGGATTCGGGGATCCTCAGGGCTGGAACCTGCACCCCGATGCTGGTCCCGACGCTGCCACCAATGTCCATGGGCCCCATGTTCGCTCCCGAGTCCCTGAACCTCAGTGTCACAAAGCCTGGCCTGGGAGCCAGCCCATTCCCAGAGATTCTCCAGAGGCACTGAATTCAGCAGGAATAACTTAGGACACAAATCACTACGAGAGCCGGGAAAGAAGCCACACGACCTTGGCAGCCAGGCGAGCAAGGTCAAATTCTTGGCTCCTGACAGATACTTGCAAGAGACCCCCTTTGCCCTTCACAGATTGCAAAACAGGTCTCGGGGTGTGGGGCTGACTCCAGCTTGTCTGCATCAGCATTTGTCAATCTGAAAACTCTCTCCTCTGTGGGCTCCGGGGATGGAGGGCAGGCTCCCAGGCTGGGAGAAGCCAGCGTCACTCTGACCCTGTGAGGGCGGCACTTGCCACTCACCAGAGGAGGAGGTATCAGGGGCCCTCTCCAGGCCAGAGCCGTGCTGGGAGCTGGGACAGTGCCCTGAGCAGACTGACCTCAGTCCTCTCTTCATGGAGCTTGTAAACAGACTATTAAACCAGCAGGAAAAACGGGGAGATCAGGGCAAGACTGGTGGCCTCGGAGCCCATCCCAGTGGCCTGCAACCCAGATCTGAAAACCAGGAGACCGGGGGAACCCCAGTGTATTCCTTCGGATTAGGGGTGGGGAACGTCCAGCCAGTGGGCCTTAGAAGGCCCCCAAAATCATTTGATCTGGCCCTGCCAAGGTAGCCACAGGCAGGACTCAAAACTCAATAAATTTAGGAACTTTTTCATAGCAGCAATAATTTTGTACGGCCCTTGAACGATGTTATAAATATCCAAATGGCCCTTGTCAGAAAAAAAAGGTTCCCCACCCCTCCTTTACATGAAACTCTTAAAATCGTATGTAATAGAAGGTGATGGGCGATTGGACCTCGTCAATACTTTTAAATAACTGAGGTACCTTTTTATCCCCCAAATTCTGGGACAGTCCCAGCACCAGCACGCTCTCAGTGGGACTGGGCGCGGGTTGCCGGCCACCGGCCTGTCCCCGTGAGTTTGTGTGATGACTCTCGGTTTGTTTCGTCGCCGGAATCACACACGTTCTGAAGCCGGAGCCTGGTGGGGGCTGGGCGAGTGCAGCAGCCTTTAAGGCCCATTAAGCGAGGCCACCCTGCCATCTTGTCTTTGGCCTGTCTGCTGGCAGGGTGATGAAAGCGAGATGCAGATGTTTGCCTTGCAGCCGAATTAGTCCATAAATCATACTCAGGAACGAGCTCCGGCTGCCATGTCGAGGCGCCTGTTAGAAAGGAGACCCGACTGCTTTCCAGGCTGGGGTAGTGCCTCCCATCAGGGCTCACATGACAGTCTGCACCCAGGACAGACCCAAGAAGTCCAGGGGGGAGCTCTGGCAGCTGACAGACGCCCACAGGGCCGGGGCTGCGGGACAGCCACACCTGACATGCAGGGTCAGTGACACTGAGGGCCAGAGGCTGGCTCTGCTTCCTGTTGGCTAATGAATTCCAAGCAGTCTTTTTCTTTCTTTTTTTTTTTTTTATTAGTGTTTTTTTAATTGATTTCAGAAAGAGGAAGGGAGAGGGAGAGGGAGAGAGAAACATCAATGATGAGAGTCATCTATCGCTGCCTCCTGCATGCCCCTTTGGGGATCGAGCCCAAAACCCAGGCATGTGCCCCGACCTGAAATCAAGCCGTGACCTCCTAGTTCATAGGTCAGCGCTCAACCGCTGCGTCACGCCAGCCGGGCCTGAGCAGTCTTTAAGGCCCAGGGGCAGTGACACACGCGTGAGTGTTAATTGGGTTCCCGTGTAGAGATGAGGGGACTATTACACACAGTAGGTGTTACAGAGAGGCCAGGAGGGAGAGTTATAAAGGTCCTGCCTGCATGCAGCCTGGCCTGTCTTTACTGACGGTCTCAGCCCCTTGAATTCCCAAAGCTAATTAACGCAGAGTCTCTTTCCTCACCCGGGAGCCACCGGGCCACCTAGGTGTGGCTCGGACAATGACACCAGGAGCTTCCTCACACCCTCCCCTTAGCAAACCCGTCTTGAGAAGTCCCTGTGCGCCATGCGCAGTCCCTGGCCTCTCAGGCCCCCGCATCATGGTGTAAACACGCAGGTAAAGAGGCAGCGACCTTGGGACTTGCTAAGTATCGGGGGAGGAATTCTCGTGGGTTGCCATGGAAACCCACAGGCGGTGGATTGTTCTTACCTGGGGGATAGGGAAGGCTCCTGATGGAGGGACCGCATTCGGATGACTGGAACCTATGCGGACGAATCTCGGTGCAGGGTGGGGACGTGGGCCCAGGAGGGAGAGGTGCTGGGGTGCTGAGCTCAGCCCAGCTGGACCATAAAATGCCCATGTGAAGCACAGGGGAGCCCAGGGCCAAAGATGAGCCCAGGGAGACTGCAAGGCCTCATATGTGCTGCTTCCAGTTTAATCGTGATCCGAGGGCCAGAGCTGCGCCAGGACCGTATAGCGTACGTAGCTTCAGCCCGATGCGACGAAGGTCGGCCTAGGGCAGGACCTGGAGCGCACAAGGTGGCCGGGGCCCGAGGTTCTTGGGTGGCAGACGTCCAGCCTCTTCCTTAGTCTCCGCCGCTGAGGCGCTGTCCCCTGACTGGTGCAGCGCGAGACCTGGGCTACGGGGTGCGGTTCGCTTCCCAGCCGAGCCCCTTGCGCCTTACAAGTCACTGCTGCCGCCTGCCTTCTTGCCACAGCCGGTCGGAGACCTGGCCCGCTCACAGCCCAGGCGGCCTGGCTCCTGCTCCGGGCCGCCTCGTGCTCTCGTAGGTTGTCCTCTCAACCTGTGGGTTAGGAGACCCCTCAGGAACGTCCCTTCTTCCACCAAGCCCTCCCTGACTGCCCTACCCGGTCTCTCCCATTTGAGGGCGCTTGGCTGCTGTATCCCTCTAGACCCCCTGCCTTCTTTGCTTTGGATTATTGTCACGTGGATTTGCTAGAAAAGTCTCCCTCGGTTGTACGTGCCAGTGGGTGTGCACCTCACCAGGTCGCTCTGGGAAACCCGGCTGCACGCAGCAAAGCAGACGGCGCTCACCCCAACTGCGTTACCCACACGTCCAAGGCGAGCCAAGGCGGGGAGCCATTCGCATCACGGGCCAGCCGAGGCATGGAATCCTCCGGAGGCACCGCGGAATTCCTCCCCCCCAGGGCCGCCTTCGCGGACCATTCCTGGCCAGAGCAAGTCCGAAAACAAACGTGCGTTCCCGGGGCATCTAGCTGGAGAGGTGACCCGGTGGCTCTGTGATGAGGCGAAGTCACGAGCACCGGCCACCCCCTCCCACCACTGCCCGATCGGATCTCATGGACGTTTTCCCATAAAACATCTGAATAAATATTTGGGCGCAGTTCTCCCAGTGTTACTCACAGAGGAATTTTTAAATGTGCTTATGAGACAATAGTAAATTGTTGCTTCATCCGTCTGCGAGGGAGCAAGATTTAGCTGAAGGGTTGTTTCCCCAATTCCAAGACTTCAGATGTTTGTTATTGTGAGTGTCCCTCCCAGACCAATGAGAAGGGTCTCGTGTTGTGTGTTTTTTTGTTTGTTTGTTTTTTGTAAGAAACCTGGGGGAAAGAAACATCAATTTCTGTCCGTTGATCAGAAGTAGACCTAAAGAAGAGGTTATTTCTGATTGAATTAATGCAAGGTAAACACACGGACTAATTTCCAAGAGCAGTCCACACATACAGGTGACTTGAGATTATAAAAATTCTGTGAATGCAATTTTATAACAATTCTATTCCCTTGGGACCATCCATCCGTCCACACGGCCGTCACCCCGACTTGAGGAGCCCCTGACGAAAGCTAAGCCAGGCCTGAGCCTGGGCCTTTGGGGGGGTTCTTTCTCCCCACCTGGAGCGGGGGCTCTTCGAGCTGTCCCATGTTTGCTTGCCCAAGACCTTGAGTGTCTTAAGGGGACACCCATTTCTTAGGAAGCGTCACTGGGATTCTCCTGAGGCCCTGGGCCCTGGCCTGGCCCCCTCTGTAGCTAACGCCGAGGGCAGACTGGGGCGTTTTGGTGGAACGCAGTCTCCTGGCGATGCTGACCGCTCCTTGCGCTCATGGCCCGACGTCTTTCCAAACACTGGGGACATTTCCCTTCACTCGCAACGTTCTTCTGATTTTCTCTTCTCCCTTATTTCTCCTTTGAGTCTTGTCTTTGGAGTCGAGTAACGGCGCCATATTTTCTTCTCCGTGTTGAAGTAACCGGACGGGATAACGCTGGGCCGCGGTGGTGCCCACGTGGCGGCCGCTGTGTTACGTTTCCCCGGAGGGGAAGGCACGTCTTACCATCCCTGTCTCCGACCCACCTTCTTGTATATTCCCGGAAAGTTCTGCACGTTCTCGAGCCGAGAAATCCTCAGTGGCCCCCCTGGAGTGCTCGGCTATGGGGACACGCCCGGCGGGGACAATGAATAGGAACATAGCTGGGTCTTCCTGGGACGGCAGGGAGCCCGCTTCAGCCCACGACCCTGCGCAGGGCGAGTGAGGCAGGCGGCCAGGGAGCCAGGCAACGGCTCAGAGGTGCCACGTGCAGCGGGCACCAGGAGCGTGTTCGCTCGGCAGCCTCTCGGCCAACGGGCAGGGCGAGCGCCTCGTGGGGACTTCAGCTACTGCGCAAGGTCACGCAGCATTTTTTTAAGCACACACCATTTTACGTGTGCCACCTGTGAACATCGTTGGGATTAGTAATAAATACACTGAAGAGCATTCCAGGCTCAGTGATTTTTCACACTGGGCGCTTGCTCAGTCGGACACCAGACAGACTCGGCTGGCGTGCTGAGGGCGGCACCTTTCCCAGCGTCGGTAGCGGGTGGCCCTCCCCTCGGAAGGCGGCAGCGCCGGGCGGCCACGGCCCCAGCTCCTCCTGTGCTCCAGCCGGAGGCCTCCTTGCCCTCGGATGCACCAGGACCCAGCGAGGGACGTTCTGTGGCTGAGATGCCCGCACACCCTGGCCCTGCCCTCGGCAAACCGCGACTCTGTTTCTAAATGAAGCACACGAAGGGGTCGGCTGTCCGTAAAGTGTGTTAGATGCCAACCTCTGCCCCGTGCCCGTGGCTCACTGTTGTCAAGAACAGCCTGTCAGCCGTCGATTTCAGGGGCGTGAGAGCATCTGCTGGGTCCTGCGGCATTTGTGAGGGGCCGGGGCCTCGAGGAAGGACCGGGAGCAGCGAGGGTGCCGAGCCACCGTGATGTTTCTCGAGAACGTGTGACATCCGTACCTTCTGACTGTAACCCTCTTTCCGTTTCTTCCAGATAACTTGTTCAAACCCAAAGAGAGGTGCATTTCGGAGAAGGAGATGCACATGCGATCTAAAAGGTACCTGGCTACTGGGTGCGGGGGAGGAGTCGGGGCGGCGTCACGGGTCCCCGCGGTCCAGCGGGGCCGGTTTCTGGGTCCACGTCTAAGGTCTGAGGTCCTCCTGGCCGTGAATTTGAAAAGCTGGCTCAAAGCACGGCTGTCGAATTTGAATTGTGCCTCTGGATGTTAATGCCGTTCTTGGAAACTCCTTAGGAAAGTGGTAGGTCTTGGACTCTGAACCGATCCGGTAATTGGTCTCTGAGAGATCGCCAGGCTCCTAGCGGGGTCGCTTCTGCGCGTTCCCAGCGCCGCGCTGGGCTGCTGCTACGTGTCACTGAGCATCTCTGAAGGTCATTTTACGAGGGGGGAGAGATGTTTCTCCTGAGAGCCTTGACGTGCGGAAAAAGGAGCCAAACTTGGAGGCTGATGGCACACGGGGCCGGCAAAGCCGCCGAGGGCCACCAGCTGGCTTCCTGGCACTCCCCCTCCCCCCACTCCGGCGGGCTGGGCGGCGCACTGCCAGCAAACGCCCTGTTCTGCTCGGCCGGTTGCTATTCTAGACGCCCACTAATTCTCACCGACCCGACCAAACAAAGGCTCCCATTCTTCCTAGGGCCTGGCCTCCTAATCGAAGTGTAATAGCTCAGCAGTGCCGGCCAAGCTCACGCAAGCAAATGTCATTAATTCATAATAAAGAATCTAGCACTGGGAAGAATTATAATAATTAAACCAAACTGGGAGTGGGCTTAGAGTAACCACCGGGAAAGGAAGGATCCGTTTCTCCCCTCTGGGCACAAAAAGTCTCAGCTTTTCCCGCGATTAGGTTGTCTCTGTGACAGTGAGCCAACTTGGACCATCGGTAGGAAACCTCTCTGTAAATAAGGACGTGAGAGCGAGGAGAAGGGGACCATCCCATTAACGACCTGCTTCTCGGCCTTCTAACCGGGGTTTTTAAAGGGCCACTGGGCTTTGGGACTTGCTGTTGGAGAAGTGCGAAGTTGAGTGTACCTCATGCCAGAAGTATTCCCTTTCAATTTAGTGAAAAAACTCAGCCAAGTCCTTCCCTCTAGGTCCCCAAACCCAACGCTGCTATTAGGGAACCTTCCAACTAAAATAATGGATTTCAGAACAGCATCCGAGGACAGAGCGGATCCCCCCATCCTTTTACTAAAGTGGAAACCGAGGCTGGGACAAGACAGTGAGTGAGGGGATGGCCCCCGAGTCCGCTCCCCCAGCTGGAGGCCAGGTCTCCGGGGGAGTCAGGGCTGGGCTTTCACTCTCTCGGGGCTGCACCCTGGCTGGGCTCCTACCCGGCCCTGAGACCTCACCCACCCACAGGAGCACACTGGAGCTTCCTTTTCTTATTTATTCTTTGTTATTAATTTTATTGCTAAATTACATTTTCATTCAAAAAGTTCAAATAATGGAGATGAAGCTAAAGTCCCCCGTGACCACCTAACACCTGCCCACCCCACTCCCCAGCCCCAGACACGCCCAGTTCCCAGCTTCCTGCTCACCCTTCCAGGCTGAGCATAGACTTTTAGTTGTACATATAAATAGACTTTTACTTGTACATATAATTATCTAACTTTTAACCATAAATGGGGTGATACTGTATTTTATCTTTCTGTAGCTTACTTTTTTTCGTTGTCTATATGTCTGTGGTCTTCCTGTGTCAGGAGATAGAAACAGAGATGATTTTCCTCAATGGTTTTAACTCTCTGCAAAGTAGTCTATTATATGGATGAACCATAATTCATTTAGAAAGCTCTTTTCTTTTTATTGGGTTAATCCTCACTGGAGGATATTTTTTCCATTGGTTTTTAAAATTTTTTTTAGAGAGAGTGAAAGGGAGGGGAAGAGAGAGAGAAAGAGAAACATCGATGTGAGAGACACATCGGCTGGTGGCTGCCCCTGACCGGGGCCAGGGCTGGAACCTGCAACCCAGGTGCAAGACCTTGACCGGAAATCGAACCCGAGACCCTTCGGTGCCCAGGCTGATGTTCTAACCACTGAGCAGCACAGGCCAGGGCCATTTAGGAAGCTCTTTAAGAAAATGGTGCATCGGGGGTGAGTCCTGGGGATTTTTACCTGAAACTCCGCACGTGATCTGAATGGTCAGTGTCAGGGGAATGGGCCTCTATGGACGCGAAGGGATCTCCACTGCGGAGCCCGGCGACATTATTTTCCTAAAGTTTCTCACAGTCCTCCCTAGAAAGCCCCTACAAGTGGCAGCGTGTGTCCATTTATTCATTCCAACCACGTCGATGCCCACGGCGTGCCAGGCACATTGCCAGGCACCAGTATTTCTAGGTCACTTTGTGCTTCGTGGTTGGGGACAGTGCTGGGTAACATCAAACCCACAGAGGCTCGAATCTCAGCTAAAGGCCTCTCCGCAAGTCTCCTGACGGCGCGGGGCGTGGGCCCCTCACCCCTTAACCGCGGGACCCCTGCCTCTCCCGGCTGCGGTGAGCATTAAACGGGACAATTCATGTCGCGGGATTAGCCCAGTGCCAACAACCAGGGCAGTGGCCCTGCGCTCATTTTTTCAGCATCGGCACTGCTGTACTTTGCAAGGATTACATTAACCATGGAACCTGTTAAGCAAAATTTTGAGGAAAAGGGAGAAAAGGCTGTTTTAGCCAAGTGCCAGGAGCGCAGCCACCAAACCTTGCGGCACGGAGCGCGCTGTGTCTGCGGATTCTAGCCAACCGTCTGGCATCAGTGCGGAAACGGTTCTGTTAGGAGGTGGGAGAGAAGCATCCAGAACAGGGCTCCCTTGGGCCCTAATGCCGCCAGGACAAGAGCCTCCAGCTCACACCCGAAATGCATTTAGAAGCAGTTTCATCAGGAAAGCAGTGGCTGAAGGGTGAACACACGCACACACACACGCACACACACACGCACACACACATGCACACACACATGCACACACGTTCCTGCTGCTCCCGTGCAATTGCTACTCCTTTCCTGGGTCCCAGGGAGCAAACGTGGAGAGGCAGAGGGGCCTGGGGGACGCGGGCACGCAGAGGGGCAGCCGGCGGTTTGGGTCCCCCGTTTTCCAGGGAAGTGGCTCATTCTCGAGGAGAACAAAGGGGCAAGAGCAGTGACCGCCGCAGAAACGAGGCCCCGCGCTGCCGGGGCGGCTCGGTGGCTGAGCGCCGGCCTGC